TTCCCACTTTCCCGTTTTCCCACTTTCCCGTTTTCCCACTTTCCCGTTTCCCCGCTTTCCCGTTTCCCCACTCTCCCGTACACTCGCTTCTAGTCCATATGTTCTCCGGAAAATCTACACCCTTCAAGGCTACAGCAATTTCCAGCGAGATTCATCAGTAGAGAGACAGAGGCCAATGATGACGGCAACCCCCGATAGTCTTCTTGGGAGCTCCCGAGAATCCACCTTCTCATGGCGATCGGTCCAGCCGATAAGAAATCCTGAGAATTCCCGTCTTTCCCTTGATAAAATCTTTGATTCTCGGCAAGAGGACCACTCAAATAATTTTTTATGGTAGAAGGACTCATCGCATCGGGGAACTGACCCCCCTATAATCACCGCTGGTTCCCCCAGAACACGCTCCTAAATTTTCACGACGATCGGTTCAGCTGTTTTAGAGTCTAAAGGGGACATACAGACAGATTTATAGATTATGTGAAGAAATCACGAAAATTCTGGAGAACTCTGGAAACTCCCGCCGAACGATTTCCGGTGAGTGACCCGGTACTCAATTTCCAAGGGGAAAACGAGCTCACCCTCATCATACGGGCACGACGACCCCCTCATCGCTTTTCTACAACTCCCGAGAACCCACCCCAAAATTCTTGCGGCGATCGGTTCAGCCGTTTGTGTAATTTTGCGTAATTTCCGTATTTTTCAATTTTTTTCCGTAGTTTTCGTATTTTCGTGGTGGAGCACTCAAAAAATTTTTTAAGGTAGAAGGACTCATTGCATCGAAGAACTGACCCTCCTATAACCACCGCTGGATCGCCCAGAACACGCTCCTAAATTTTCACGACGATCGGTTCAGCCGTTTTCGAGTCTATAGGTGACACCAGACAGACAGACAGACAGACGTTTTTATATATATAGATAGATTGAGTATGATCACATCGCAGGAGCGCTTTTACGACTCGAGAATATTCTGGTAGACGCGTGCATTATTAATAGGAGTGAGCTGGCTTTCTTCTCCCAGCAGTCAAATGAGTGCCGGTGTGCGCATGCAAGAAGACCCTTGCAGAAGGTGTAAAGAGAAGCTTAACACGCAATGTCCTCATGGTCGGCGATCCCTTAAGTAGTTTTTGATCGGACCATATTTCAATTTATACTAGTATCAATCGATTTATACTGAATTATACTGAATTATACTAAATTATACTGAATTATACTTGAATTATACTTGAATTATACTGAATTATATTTGAATTATATTTGAATTATATTTGAATTATATTTGAATTATATTTGAAGTATATTTGAATTATATTTGAATTATATTTGAATTATGTTTGAATTATATTTGAATTATATTTGAATTATATTTGAATTATATTTGAATTATACTTGAATTATACTCAAGTTATGCTTGGATTATGCTTGAATTATACTTGAATTATACTTGAATTATACTTGAATTATACTTGAATTATACTTGAATCATACTTGAATCATACTTGAATACGGTCAAATTGAACTCAAATTATGATGCTCGATGTATTTCAATTCATTTGTAAAATACGCTCGAATCACGATTGATCGGTCGAAATTTCATCGAAAACATTTCTGTGTGTGTATGTATGTGTGTGCGTTCAAATGGAGCGGCTCGATTAGCCCGTCGCTATTAATGATCAATAACATCATTATCATCATCATCATCACTATAAATAACCGAACAAATGAGTGAATGAATAATGATGATGATGATCATAAGGATGTTATTGATCATTAATAACGACGGTTCCCATCCCTCGCGACGTGGACGCTCGAGCTCAATGAGGGACTTTGTATTTTTTTAATTTTTTCGTTGTTTTTTTCGTAGTTTTTTCTTATTTTTTCTAATTTTTTTGTTAATTTTTTTTATTTTCTTCCTAATTTTTTCAAATTTTTTTGGATTTTTAAAAGGAAAATTTTTTCAGAACAGAATGATAATGAAATTTTTGTCTAATAAATGTATGAAGATGATGGGGGCGACGGTGGAGATGGCGGTGTCGATGTTGTTGCCGTGAGCAGCGGAGACCCGGGGGCCGGCTGCGTTCGCGACTGCTCGGCCGCCACCGCAGCCGTCGCCGATGTCCTTGGAGTTATTCGCGACGACGACGACGAAAGCGTCAACTGCAACTCCAACGGCATCGGCGACAGCGACATCGATGGCAGTTGCAGTGACGGGTTGGCGTTGGCCGCGGCGGCAGCGGTTCCTCCCCTGGGTTCGACGATCTCGTCGTGGTCGACGACGATAGTGACAGCCTTGTTGCCGGCATTGGAGGGGAGGGCGACGGTTCCGGCGATAAGATGACCCCATTTTCTTCGAGCACCTTCCGGACCGCCCCACTCCCTCTCGCAAATAGATTCTCTACGTACGGCATCCATCGCCGGAAGTACTCTGCCGCCAGCAGAACGTCCTTTTTCTCGACGTATTCGATGAATCCCCGCGGATTGGCGCTGTTCTTCAGCGCGGTTAAAAGCAGCGCCCGGTCAGCCACCGCTGCCTGTTCAGACAAGCGGCGGGAGAGAGGGGCTGGTGCTCATGCCGGTGGTAGCGACGGCGACGGCGGCGGCGACGAAGAGACTTGCCTCCGTTTGAATGTCGCCGGAGGCACTTGATACGGATGGAATGAGAGCGACGAGGACGAGGCCGACGATGAAGCGGCGGCGGGTGCGGCGGCGGTGTCGACGGCGGCGGCGACAGCATTGTCGGCTGTGGCGACGGCGGCGGCGGCGGCGGTATTGTCGGCTGTGGCGACGGCGGCGGCGGCGGTATTGTCGGCTGTGGCGACGGCGGCGGCGGCGGTATTGTCGGCTGTGGCAACGGCGGCGGCGGCGGTATTGTCGGCTGTGGCGACGGCGGCGTTGTCGACATTGTTGGCGGTGGTGGCGGCGGCGACATCAGCTGCTGAGCAAAATGAGCGGAAAAACTGCATCCAGAGTTTTGGTTTCCGGCAACTTTATATCTCTATAATTCTATCAAGGATTTCCTCCGGCAGATTCTCCCGGAAATACAAAGTGCCACGGATGGGCGAGCGAGTCAACACGAGCGCATGGTAGTGCGACTCGGGAGTACCGCCGGCAACCTATGTCGCCGTACATTCTAAAGACGCCGCAGTATTGGTCGACCTCTCGTACATGCGTGAACGTCGCTCAACGCGACTTCAAAAGCCGGATCAGGTCTCTCACTCCGGAACGAAATTGCCCATGAAGGGGATTAAGGGATTAAGGGATTAAGGGATTAAGGGATTAAGGGATTAAGGGATTAAGGGATTAAGGGATTAAGGGATTAAGGGATTAAGGGATTAAGGGATTAAGGGATTAAGGGATTAAGGGATTAAGGGATTAAGGGATTAAGGGATTAAGGGATTAAGGGATTAAGGGATTAAGGGATTAAGGGATTAAGGGATTAAGGGATTAAGGGATTAAGGGATTAAGGGATTAAGGGATTAAGGGATTAAGGGATTAAGGGATTAAGGGATTAAGGGATTAAGGGATTAAGGGATTAAGGGATTAAGGGATTAAGGGATTAAGGGATTAAGGGATTAAGGGATTAAGGGATTAAGGGATT